CACTTTGTCTCCAATTAATCAACAGTGTGTTTACATTAAATTTTATTTTGATGATGAGCTAAATTTTCACCCTAGTTTAATTTTAAAAAATGCATATGCATATTGGAAAGTTTTAGAAATTCAAGTTAGCTTTTTCAAAAATTTATATTGCCATGTTACAAACTTCCTGTCATGGCAAAATCTCCCTCAATGCACAATGCCTTGAACTGTCTGTCTTCATAAGACCTGACTTAATGTCAGACATTTGTATATAGAAAGTAAATAGCTCTTTTATATAATTTCTAGCTATATTCAGAGAGCATAAAATTTGGTGCATTAAGGTGAATTTTGAAAGTGAAGAAATAGCAGCATATCAAAATATGAAAGTAAGTTTATATCTGCACTATTCTTAGAAACAAAGTTTATTATATACAGCTTTTGATATCTGTTTCAGTTTATTTTCTGTGGTATACCTTCTAATTCTAGGGCAAGGGCATTTACCAACAGTCACTGTCAGTGTGTCAAAATATCTTGATCAAAGTGAAGCTGCATCTTAAATTGAATAGAGAAAAAAAGATATTATTTGAATCCATACAGAATATGATTAATATCTTATAAGACTATGATATAAGAGTGCTATTAAGTTGATTTAGTGTCTTCATCTATTTTAGGATGAAATATATTATATAAAGGGAAACTGTTCATTAATGATAATAATGAAGATAATTTTTATGCACCAAATCTAAACTCTATAAATATCTTTATTAATGAATGCTATAGGCTATCATATTTCAATGTCAAATTAATCAAGACATTGTCTTAAAGAAATACTACCTCTTAAAATGGGCGTACAATTTGAAGTCTTAAATTTGGTCAACAAGTGTGTATATTCAACAGTTGGACTTTCCAGATGCTAAAACTAAAGAATAGAATATCTTTATAAGATGATATATCAATTAAACTAAGTTTTTAAAGACTTATTTTGGCCAAGTTTAAAAATTTCAATTTTGGTCATTCTAGGTAGTACACAGTAATTAGAAGTATTAGAACCTTACCCACTTTTATCATCAAATCAGCATTGGCTAGATTTTTTATCAAGTGGCTCACTTTATGGTTAAGAATTTTACAACTGACTGACAGTAGTTACAATAATTGAGACAGAATTGACAAGTTGCAGTTTTTCAATGGCTATTTTTATATGTCCATATGAAATCGGGGGCATATATTGTCGTCACCCATGTCCGTCCGACCGCCCACAATTGCTCGTAGACATTCTAGAAGGCACAATTCTTGACTGATTTTGACGAAGCGTGGTATGATTGATTTTAATCACCAAAGGATGAACGCTATTAAAAAACAGAAAAATCGAAAAATGTTTAGTATGAGTTATTGCCCTTGTTCTTGAAATACTCACAACTGTCAAGAAGGTGCAATTTTTAACGTATTTTGATGAAACTTGGTGTGAGTGTTTGCCATCACCCAAGGATAAACCCTATTGAAAATCAAAAAAATAGAAAAATATTTAGTACAGTTTGCCCTTGTTCTTGAAAACTCATTCAATTTTAGCTTGTTAACACGCTAGAAGGTGCAATTCTTGACGGATTTTGATGAAACTTGGTGTATGTGTTTGTTATCACCCAAGGATGAATCTTATCAACAATGTCAACATAAACCTTCAAATTTTCGGGAGCTCCTATTCTTTCCAGCAAAACTAACTGATTTAACTATATATATATATAAGTAATGTGTAACCTAATTCTGATAATTATATGTATAAGTAATTGTAAGTAAATATTCCAATACCATTGAATTTATAGATTTTATTTTTAAATAACACTATTTATTTGTTTTTTCAGAGTGAAAGAGCTATTTTAGCTGATACAGTGAAACAAGAATTAGAAGATAAAATAAGAAGGTTAGAAGAAGATAGAAACAATATTGATATATCTTCTGGTAAGAAAGAGTTATGTGCCATATTTATCCTATTTCTTTATAGAAATGACTATAGAAATGTTTTAGTTTTGGGGATATAGGCTGACTTTTGAAAGCACTGGCTGTTACTAGCGGTAGTTACCAATTTTTAATTGGCAGAGCTCAATTTGATCACAATCATGTGAAATGAAAGGCCCTATTGACTTAGCCTTACCAGGATTACTTAAGTATTGATATAATACTGAATAAAACCTTTCAGTCCTTGAATTGGTTGAAATTTACGCAACCATTTCAGGTTTTGGTAATAGCCAAGCCTGCTAACTACACTGAAATTGGATTTTTTTTGTAGATTTATGGCATGAATCTCAGAGTCAGAAGAAAAAGAAGAAGTCTGACCCCTTTCATAGAGACAGACGACGTAAACCAGTTGTTGTTTCTGATATCCTTTTTATTTTAAACTTGATATTTAAACTCTTTCTAAGGTGGCTTCTCTGTCTTGTTGATGCAGACGCTTGCACACTAACCGGAAGGTCCAGAGTTCAATCTTGATAAAGGTCAAAATAATATAATGTTAGTGATGCAAGCTGGAAGATCTTACTCAGAGAAAAAGCTTGTAGTTGTTAGGATGAATAATAAACTAAGACCACTTATGCTGTAGGCTGTGCAAGTGAAAGATGCCTCAACAATATTGTAAATAAAAAAAGAGAAGTTTAATTGCTAACTGCATCATCTTATCCGTCCTAAACCTCCCTTTCAATTTTATTTCACAAAACAGAACTAAAATGTTTTTTCAGTGATTGTAGAAAGTTAAATAAAGACTAACTACTTATAAAAATTATTTCCTTAACAACTGCACGTCCTTATATAGTTTATATGTTACGTGAATCTGATATTATAGATGACTGGACAACTATTAAAAAGGTTTGTTTTATATTTTGATATACCCATACCATAATGTGCACAGTGGATGTATATTGTTTTGACCCCCAGAGTCTGTCTGCCCACAATTGCTTTGGTTCATCTTGACAATTTGAAGATTGTTTTTTTATGTACAAATATAGATAGATAGTTATGGTTGATACAAATTTTCTGTATTGTTTTTAGGCTTTAAAGCAACAAAAACAACAAAATCAAAAGAGGAAGATTGATTGTAAGTGTTGATTTTGATCTTTCATCCTCAAATTGTTGAATCAGTACTACAAAGAAACCATCTCATTTTATGTTTTGAATATCTTGCTCAGAACATCAAATTTTCTTAAATCAACAGTGGGTCATTATTGCCAATAAACTTTGGTTTGTCATGGCAGCAGAACTCAGGATCAGTGCTACTCAAAAAACTCCTCTCACCATACTGTAAAAAGTTATTGCTTATTTGTGGAAACAGTTCAATTTCAACTCTGTTTTTAGACCATGAATTCAATATTTCAAGATATGCAATCTGTGTGTCTGTCCCTGAGGAAGGGGCCTTTGTGCGCTTGAAACACGTTGGACTCTAAGACAACTTAAGTACCATATTATATTATATTGTTTTGAGTGTTTAACTTTTAACCATGCAATGTAAATGGTACACACTGCCACTTTTACTCGATTTCTTTTTCCAAATAGAAATGTACTATTTGTAGACTTTCTGTTTAATAGTCATAACATATTTGAATTGTATCAATATTTACATGAAATGATTTTCTTGTTATTTCAGTCTGAGAGCTAGATATTAAATGGATAAAATGAAGATATATTTCCAGTACCCTAAAGTGCAAATCATCAAGATTTCATTATTTTAATTTTTTTTAAACTTCATTACTCATTATCATGTCATGATTCTTGTCTCCTGTAACATCATAGTATTATAGGTCTGTTGTATTTACCAGCCTGTTGGTAAATGGGACAAAGTACTATTTGATTTATAAGTCAATTTTATTTTACAGATTTGACATGTATGCAGAATGAAGTAAATTACCAGTTAGTTATTCATGCCCATTATAAAACTACTTCCAAAATTATTTCATGACACTTTGTGTATGTTTTTTTTTAAACACCAGTAGTGTTAATAGTTGCATGTGAATCTATTCACCCAAGCTAGCAACATATGTCCTAATTAATATCATTAAATATTGATCATGTTTATTCATCTACCATTTCATTGTCATTTTCAAGACATTGTCAATGTTCAGATCTTGATGAAGTGTTGGAAAATGCAGCAACATATACATGTATGTATGTAGAAAAAAATTGCCATCCGACAACATAATGACAATTGTAGGTAAATATTGTTGTGTACTTCTGTTGAATAAAATTTTATACTTATTGTGCATCTACTCGAAAATGACAAGTTTAGTACAATGCTGTAATAGCTACAATGCTGTGTTTATCATCTTGTCCAAAAAAAAACAGCCCTCTTCGACTACCAGGATACAAAGCTGTGTTTATGTTTCATAGGGTCTCACGTAGAACTCGTCCACTATACAAAACAATAAAAAGCCATTTAGAATAATTAAACAGACAGAACTTTCGTTCTTTTTTTTAATTAGCTTTTAACTTTATTAGAGTCTAACGACAGCCCTTTTCAACATTCATCAAATTAACCTTTCGACTTAAAACATGAAAGGCCAGTGCTGGAGTAGGTAGAAATTTGTTTGGTTAGGTGTTATAAAGTTGCGTCAGAAGGTTAATTGAAACTCAGTTGAAGTGACTATATAAAAAATAAAAGTTAATTAAAAGAAAACAGAATAGAATTTTGGTCTAATTGTAATTAGACTTCATAGCAATTAAAAAACAAATGACTTTATTTGTTTCATTCATACTACCTAGTATAAAACAGTTTACTTCTTAATTACATTCTGTTGATAATATCTCGTTCAGAGTTTCAAATTATATGGTTATGGAACATTGATATCTATTAAAGAAAATTGCAAAAAGTTCAGAGATAACTCACTCGTTCAAATAGGTTTACCATGAACACAATAACATGTAAAGTTCATTGATCTATTATCATCATATCAAGCTATAAACACTACCAGGATAAGAAGAAATACTCCTGCAGACTGTGGCTCAAAATCATTCTATTTCACTATTTAATTTTCTACACCTATTTTAAAGGGGTGCTTTTATTAAATCGAATTGACTCCACAGTCCAAACAACTTCACTGGATCTCTAAAGTTGGGAATACTTAATGCAGCAAATTATAAAGTCACACTTCCCACACAGCATCAGAAATTACAATTGTATTTTTTTATCACCAAAGTTATTATGTCCATACAACTTGTATGACCTCTAATACTACGTCTCTGGTTTTAGTGGTTCCTGTGTTATAGGGTCATAACCAGCTGCCATTTGTTTTTTATAATTCAGAAATTCTACTCTTTTGTCAAAGTGTTTCACCTAGAATACAGAGCAAATCAGGTAAATGGAAAAAATATTTTACTCCTTGTAATGGCTAGATCATAACTAGAATGCTAGAAGAATAATGATTAAGTGAAGCACTTAAATTTTGCCAATGTTGATTGGATGAAAATATCTTGGCCTGATACTACTATGAAAATGAAAATAAATAACATTATGTCTGTTAAGAACCTAAAATTTCATAAAAAATATCCCTTTACCCATGATTTACTGCACTTAGATTCATAGATTGAGCGTAACTTTTTACACTTAGATTTGTCGCCATCATTGTCCTCTACACACTTCCAAAAATCATCTCGAGCTTTATAACAGATCTCTCTTTCTTCTTTGTTTGGGTAAGCCATTTCTCTTTTCCTCTGATCCTTTATAATTTACCTGAATTAAACAATCAATATTTCATCAACAAAACCTTGGAGTAAGTTGGAGAGCCATTAACATTAATATCTGATCTGGCTGGACTAATTGGAATATTGCTCGCTAACCTGATGGTCTAGCCTATAGCTCTAAACAGAGTAGGGTTCCCTCATTCAAATTGCACACTGCATGGTAAGCCTATTGCCCAATCACTGATAAGTGCAGAAAATGAGGACGTAAGAATACATTCATATCACTCCTCAAAAACAGTATTTTTGAAATGAAATGTATTGTACTGTTGTAGTCTATCTGAGCTTTGCCTTTAAAAAGTCACACAGTTTATGTGATTAAGTTCACAATTTACAGAATAAAGTTGTGTTAACCTTGTCTTGTCCATGGATTTCATTTCATTCCTTCATTCATTCCTTGTTTTGTAATTTGTCCGTGTACATTTAAGGGAATCTTAATAGAATATTCCATTAAGAAAACGAATAGACATTTTGTGGTGAAAACTCTAACACATGCAATTTGCAGCTTTTTTGCTTAATTGATGATGGTGATTATTAATTTTAGCATTTCTCTGTTGTATATTGCAAACACATTGATACTGGTGCACTGTATGTTTCTCTCTTGTATCTTTTTGACATTGCGGAGTTTAGTCAATCCTTCGAAAACGGATATCCTTTTATATGAACATGCGCAGTTAGTTGTCTACAAAAGCTGTATTTTATCTATTTGAAACAATATAATTTTTACTTGCTCCTTCCTTATGATAAATAACTAAAATGAAATTATATTATCGATAGAATGAACTCCTTGTAGGCATTATTTTGAACAGATATATTTGTCTATATTGAGATGGAAAATCCCTGTGAAAAGCCCTCAGTATTAGATCCAAATTCAGTATTGGATGATGGAATTGAAAGCAAGAGTGGCAAGTGCCAGAAAGACATAAGTGAAATCCAAAATGTTAAACCTCAAAAAATGGAAACACTACTTCAAACAAATCTTGATGAAGATATATTATCTGAATTGGAATGTGTAAAGTCCGATTGTGTTAAAATGTGTACAAATATAAAAAGTAATCCTGTAACAGGTGTGCCCAATGAATTGAGACACGAACGAGTAAATGGTCTTGTTTCAGTTCCAGAGTTAAAGCCTCAGTCACATGAAGATTGTGATCATTCGGATCAAACCACTGAAAGTGCAGATTCTGGACATGGAAGTAGTTGTCATGATTGTGAATGTGGTTCAGGTGAAACTGAAGTGACAATCCTATCAGAAGGTTTAGCAGCAGTAAACCTAGATCATGAATTATCAGAGACAGAATTTGAGAGCCGTCAGTCCCCTTTAACACATGTGGACGGTATAAACTATGTAGTATATGAATCTGAACTTCAAATGCCAGATATAATGAGACTTATAACCAAAGACTTGTCTGAACCATATTCAATTTATACATATAGATATTTTATACACAATTGGCCTAAACTGTGCTTTTTGGTAAGAGCTTATGTTGAAATATGCATGGAAAATATCCTGTTTTTGTGGAGATGATAGTCATTTCTAGAAACTGACATCATTGGCAGTTCAATATTCCTAATCCACGGATAGAAATAATTCGACAGTCATTAAAACTTCTATTTGAGAAAATTATAGGCGATTAAAACATTAAGATCACTTTGGGATTGGTTAACACACTGTGACTTAAAAAAAATGATAATTGTTTTCTGAACATGAATCATTTATTTTGTTTTTTTTTTTTAATTGCAGGCAAAAGACAAAGAAAAATGTGTTGGAGCCATAGTTTGTAAATTAGATTTACATAAAAAGTTGGTTCGTAGAGGATATATTGCTATGCTGGCAATTGATTCTGATTATAGAAGAAGGCGTATAGGTATGATTGTAATGTAATTCTTGTTTCTCCTTATGTTTTAAGGCTGACATAATTTGTTTATGTAGCAGATTTACTTTATATTTTAATTGCTATATTTGCAAAATTTTCTTCAATATGCACACTTTATGAGAGTTTGGCCACTAGTCCTTATTTAATGATGTAAAATCCAGGTCTGATTGAGATCTTTATTAACTAGACTGCAGATGTATCTTTGAAATGTTTTTATATAGCAGTGATGTATTCATATTGTCTCGTTGTAGGTTCAAATCTAGTGACAAAAGCAATTCGAGCTATGATTTCTGATGACTGTGATGAGGTAAATGCAAATGATTGTCCATTTTTTTTTTTATAAGTTTCTTCTCCATGTCCTTCTTCACAATATAAAGCTATTGAAGATGCTCCTGATAGTAAGAGCATGTCCTTTATTTTGAGCATTATTATGCATATTTGTATTGATAAGAGAAGTTTGAAATTTAGTATGCTATTTAAAATGCTTTGATGAAACAGAATTTTCATCCAACATTTCGGTCTGATCACATATAGAAAGTTTCATAAATCCTTTTCTTTCTATTATTTCAGGTTGTTTTGGAAACTGAGATTACGAATAAGGCAGCATTGAAACTATATGAAAACCTAGGCTTTGTGCGTGATAAACGCCTATTTAGGTATTATTTGAATGGAGTTGATGCTTTGCGATTAAAGTTGTGGCTTAGATAGTTTTAATGAATTGAACTTCCAACATATATTTTGATCAACTGTTCAATTGGAAGGTTTTATAATTTATTTGTGAATTTTATGTGAACATTATAATAAAATAAGACTAAAATTTCTACTAAAATGGTTTAACAGTTTAAATTTACTGGCTTTAAATATGTTTTCCTCCCATCCTTCATATGAATTTCTGTCCAAGTTTAGTTTTTAAACATTTTTGAAGATATTAAGTACAGTTTGATAAACTTTATTGTCTCTTGTTCTATCAAATTGAAAATTACCTGTGTCATCCTGTGATCATTACAGCTTACATGTAGAGCAGGGTTTTAATATATAGGATAATGACATTATGATTCGAAAGTTTGTAAAAGCTTGACATTGTAAAGATAATGGAGAGGCTGTTACTGAATTTCTATCAATGTGCAATATTCATGAGATTTACTGCTAAAAGTTCATAATTTTGAATCGCTATTTGCAAATTCTATTATAAATGTTGGATTTGTAATCTTGATTCTGAAGATCGTTTTGATACGCCAATTGGGGAAAAAAACTAACAGGGTGCAGGATTCTTATAATGGGTTGATAAAATGTCAAAATATGAAAAGAATAACATGTGGAAAGTTTAAATGACCTCCACTCTGAGCATTCAGACAAATCCTTTAAAAATGCTCGCTGGGAAAAATTCGTCAACATCATAATAAAATTCAACAATTTAATGATCAACACAGTAAAGCAAAACAAGATAACAAGAAAAAATATATATAGAATATGTCACACCTTTAGTGAGGCTTTGAGTAATATACAACATACTATTATATAACTAGATAGGTCACTAGAGACTTCCTGTTGATTTTGGGTTTCAGTATCCCTTCAAGTAAAAATGATGAATGAAGTGCAAACCATAATTTGGTCATTTAAGGACAACAATTGGAATTTTGGGGGTTATTTTGGTCTTTAATATAATATGAAAAGTCTCCAGATGTACTAGAACTGTATGTATATCACATAGTATAATTCACTTTCTATTTGTATCTTCACTAGTTTCTGCTCAGTCTGAATATTGTATGTCTATAATAGGAAATACAGTGTGTGCATCTCTGAAGGTGTGTACCAATGGTACATATTCTACACATTTAGTTAGGAATAGTATGTGTGTCCAGAATTATCCTTGCTTGAAAGTTAAAATGACGACTCGTCTTTTCTTCATACTCTGCCATATTTATGGAAAAGACACTAGAAAAGAATGTAAAATTCTTCTTTAGAGGTATTTTTGAAGGAATTTCAATTGATTACGTGCATTTCTAGTATTTCTGAAAACTATTTACGAAATCGAACTCAGAAAATGGCAAACCTGACTTTCGATAATGATTAGTATCAAAGCCATAAAGCTCTTGATATTTTTCTCTCAACAATGTAGCAAACCAAATAGGATTCATGCAAATTAGAGCAGAAGGTACAATTCTAATTGTAATTAGGAGACCCAACATAGGAATATAAAACCTGAAATGAGTTATAAGTAGCTTATATATAATTCTTACAGCTGTTAAGGCAAAATTAGGGTACTAAATCTTCACATCTGCAATGAAAGCCATGTTTGATTCAGCTGTAGAATATAATCTCCAAGGTTACCATACTCTTTGAATAATAAATAATCTTGTACTGTTCTTGGTAATAATAATGAGTTGATACTAGTTTCTGTGTATTTACCATGACTTCCTAAGTCTTTGACTATTTTCCTTCGCACTAAATGACTCAATCGATGTGTTGATTCTACAAAAATGAAAAGAAATGTAAAATTAATCCAAGAAATAATTTACAATAATAAAATATTTTCACTGTTAAATTGGTGCACAATAGATCAATTTAGAGCAATATAGAAATATTAAAACAGAACTTGAATCATATAACATTTGTTTCGTTGCTGTGTACTTGTAATATGCATCAAGAATATTCAAATTATATACAGGAAAGTCAGAATTTCCATAATTGTATAAATTCTTCAGGATGTAATTAATAGTAATATAGTACATACTACATAGTCAAATTGATATTCTCTTCTCTATCTAAGGCTTGAAGCATTAAAAATGATTTATAGAATATAAAATACCTTCAAGACATTGAATATTTTTCAAATCATCTGGCGTAAAGATGTCTTGTATAGCTCTATCAACGTGTACATTATGACATAAACATAATAATAATGATACCATAAACAATACACAAGAATAGGGTGACTGTCGTAATAGTTGAAACAATAAATTATCATGCATTAATCTGACATTACTATCAGATTTGATATTAAATAATGATTCAGCTTCACCACCAGCCATTAATAATGTCCACAGGAACATGCTTCTTTCTTTTACATTTTCTTCATTAGTGTCACCTTGAAGTCCTGCCCTTAATGCTAAAATCAAGGCAAGATTGCCTTCATTGCTTCTTAGATATATATTTGGATTGGCACCAGATTGCACTAATAAGTTCACTAAGGCACAATTTCCATTCCATAAGGCACACATCAATGGAGGCATTTCCTTGGCATGTCTGCTGTTTGGATTAAGTCCTGAATTCAATAACATTTTAACACCAATTAAAGGGCAGTCTGATTGTAAATGACATAATATAGAACCATGTGTTAATGGAGAGAATATTGAGGTTAAACGACTCATTTCACACTGATCATTATGTAAAGGTAAAGAAATATGAGCATCAAATCCATTTAAAACCAACAGTTGTAATATTCTTGCATCTGGTAAATGCAAGGCTTTAATCAAGGGATGCAAGTCACTTGGTTTATCTTGTAATGGTGTGATATTGGTTACTGGTAATAATGCTTCTACACATCTAAAATAATAATTGTAATCCGATATAATCATTTTATTCTCGGTAGAGCTTGAAAAGCTTTTCTTTTTAACAAGAATACCCCAAGAATCAAAATCTGACGCCTGGTTCATCTGCAATCAGATATATATGGTCAGACAACTTTCACATTGGTTTTCCAATTTATTTTGCAAAAGAGTGTAAAAACGACAATTCTTGAACTAAATTGGATGGTCATACCAAATCTTTTCTGAAATTTTAAGTAATCCCAATTACTCAGGAATGTGTATAAATAAATGAAGCAAAAACCTACTTGTAATGGCCTTTGTAAATAGCATATTGTAATGGGGTTGCACCATTATCACTAACTGCTATATTGGCATCAGCTCCACAAGCTAACAATAATTTAACACATTCTACATGACCTTCTTGTGCTGCTATTAATAATGATGTAGCATTATCATAGGCTGGGACATTTATCAACTCTATATCTGTCAACACAATACATAAATAATTCTCATTGCAGTAGGCAACCAGGAATCTCTTGCCAAAATTGTGGGTATTCAATCATAAAGATCAAATTGAACATTATTTTCTTGTGGAAAAATGACAAATTCAAGGAACCACACATGAAATCTTTGGTGGAATTATAGTAAGCACCACTAAGTAGTAAGTACCTTCCATTTTCAAAATGCCACAAAAATAATCCTACAACCATAGTTTATATTTTTAGCCTTTATTTTGTATCATATGTCATAAAATTTTAGGGCTTTAGTACATGCTTAAAGCATGACATGTTTGATGGCTTTAAAAGAAAAAGTATAAAAAGCACATACCACTATCATTGATTTCAGTCAAAATTAACTTCATACAATCTAAATGACCAGCATGGGCTGCTAAAAATAATGGTGATAAATGGTTTTCTGTAAAAACATCCACTCTGGCTTCGTGTTGAAGTAATGTATGTAATATGTGAGGAAATCCTTTCTCACAGGCTACATGTATGGGTCTATATCCTGTATATACTACACAGTCTATATTAGCATGATCTTTAAGCAACAACTTGACACAATCCATTCTACCAATATTAACAGCTGAAAAAAACACAATATGTGATAGTTAAATCATATTTAGCTTTGCACACTCTGCCCACCTTGTCACCACTAAACTTTCAAAGAACCCAATAAAAGCTGTCATTCAAAATATAACATGATAGTGGAGTTCTTAACAATAAATCAAGACATAGAAAATTTACACAATGCTGATGGGATAAATAGTAGGTTAGATTCTAAACTAAAGAGAAACCAAGTAAAATATTATCTGTCTTTAACTGTCAATATATTTGTATATTAAAGTAACATTGCTATTAAAATAAAATACTTCTTTAATGTGATTCTCATGCCTCCTTGAGGTAAATAATTTTGATTTATATAAATTAACAGCACACTCATAAAATTTAACCATAAGCAATAACTCTTAATCAAGTACATACCTTCCCACAATGGTGTAAATCCTTCATTATTGGACAAATTGACATCTGCATTATCACAAAGTAACGTATGTATGCAGACTTTGTGACCTTGTCTTGCTGCCAGCAACAGAGCAGTTTCACCTTCATATGTTTGACAATCTACACAAACAGCCTCTAAAAATACAAAAAATAATTCAGTTCACTTAATAATTTGAACAAAGCCATCTCTTAAGCAGAAAGCTTATAACCAGAGCTTTTTAGGAACACATGTACACAACAACTATTCCAAACTTTGGTGGAGGCTCCATGCAGGATGTATCAAAATACTTGCATGGAGATTTTCAAGTCACACATTAAGAACTAGATATTCCTAAACAAACCTTGTCTTAACAAGAAATCCAAACATCCGGAGTTTCCACTGAAAGCTGCTTCATGAATTGGAGTCCAACCTCTATTATCTTTAACATCTACAGCTCTACCTGTTACAAATAATATAATATATATGTAATATACATTATAGAAGAGAACCAATCCCATATGAATTCAAAAAAAAATAATATAAATAATAATTTAAGATGTGCTATTTCAAAATAAAATCTGACAAGAAAGTATTATAACCAATTAATTTCCAAAGGAGATTGTGACTAGTGAGATTAAAAAAAAATCATTTGGAACAAACTATTTATTAGCAAATTCCCATTTTATACAATAGCTCTTCAAAACAGACATGTTGGTCTTCACAATATATCTTACCATGCCATACAAGTTCTTGCAGGCCAATTAAATCACCAATCCTAGCAGCTACACCTACTGATGAACAAGTATCATTATATGACTCTGTGAAATCCATATCAACTGCAAATAGAAATAGGGGTGCAATCCTTCATATCATACCATATTTTCCCCAAGAGGCCTAATAACCTAATTTAATTTGTTTCAATTAGTTTTACATAGTGATAATCTAGTCTAGTTTCATGGACATCAATTCAAATTATACAGAAAAGTCCACTAAGAATAGATAAGTACTCTTATTGGCTTAGTTTAATGTTCATTTCAAGAGGGAAAATTCCTAAAAAGGGGCAGTCGGAATTTATTGAGGTACAGTCGAGTAACCTAATTTCGTGGAAACCTATTATTCGTGGATTTCCGGAAAGGATTAATAATTTACATGAGCGACCTTGCGCGACCTCCGCATTAGTTTGTTTTAATAAACATGGGTTTTCTCTACAATGTCAGCTAGTAGAATGAATCCAGTAGTTTCAAGCAAGGTAAAATGTATTAATGTTTACTTTGACAAATACAAAATGACGGATTTCAGTTATTACCAAACGTCACCATTTTTTATCGGCCGAATTTCCTTATAATCCCAAGCGGTAATCGGAATTCCAAGTGTCGTCTGCTAGAATATATTTCATTGAATGAAGTCACGTGATCAACTAGCAGATTCCGTGTCAGCAGAAAATTTCTATGGAACACAAAGAGGACCATATTCTTATGTTGTTTCAGTGACTGTTAGCAATAAATCACGCTACGTATCTTATTTTGTCAGTCACTATCTTTTTTTTAAATCGTGGTTCTTTGAAGGAATTGTCACTAGTTATAATGAATTGATATTAAAGATAAACCCTAAGAGAAGTTACTTATACCATCCGGTATCGATACAATGTGTTTTTCTAGACTTATTTATAGATCAAACATTGTACACGAAAGTAGGTGACGCATTCTGCTGCCGTTGCCGAGTTGGTTGCTCATGAAATATGGGTCAAAGTGAAGGATTCATAAAGAAAATCGAAATAAACCAATTTTAATTATTTTGTAGAATATCTGAGGAAACATCTAAAACATAAAAAAAATTTTCGTTATTTTAACCTTGACTAAATTTGGTGTTGAATCCTTATATCCACGAAAATAGGTTACACCACTGTATATTATATCTATATGTACACTGCATGTTATTAGCCACTTATTTATCAGTATGTACAATAACGAACAAGACAAGTGATGTCAACTGTGACGGTGGCGATCTGAAAACCTGATCAATTATTTTCACTTAAAGTGTAATGAGCTAGTTTAATTACTTTCATGAGACTAAGGAACCACAGTCGATGTTTACTGATCAGTTTCTTTCTAGGTTCTGATCGTGTGAAATTTATAAACTTCCGGTTGGTTAGCACGTTTCGTTTTTAGGTGTCTGGTTTTACAAACCCCTATAAAACAGTTCTATGTTTACCTAGATCTATGTCGGTATTTTTAGAAACATTGACTTGAAAAAATTAGGCCCTCTATTGACTTTTATTTTTCGAAAATGGACAACAAAACATTTTCACAGTTTAAGTATAGTTGAAAATCAGTGCTACAGACAAATGGACAAATGATAATAACAAAATAAAGGGTATTTTATAAAACGCAGCCATTCATGTTTGGAGTTTGTTTTTTGAGACACCAACACTACAGTAAGTGGTATTTCATTGGTTGAAACTCGACAAGCTCTATGTATGCGAACCTACCGGAAGTTTACAATCCATAACGAAAATAGTGCGATTATTTTCTCTTCTTATGAGAAAGGATATTTAACGAGTACCTTTATTTTTTATTTAGTCATATCGGTTCATTTAAATCAACCTTTTCTCAATGTATAAAGGGGAACTGGCTGAAATCATTAAAATTCCAAATAAATGCAATAATTATTGGATGGAGTGACATGTGATGTACATTATAACTATTTACTCTCCGGCCAAATTGAGTTCTAAATTGAATTTTTTCTCTCATGTCACAAATATTCAAAATATGATTTTCAAGTGCATACTGATTGTCTTAGAATGCCTTTGGGTCCATGAATATATAAGTTTTGAAAATTTTGCATTTGAAATGAACACACTTCCCTCCAAGAAATTTCACGTGAAAATGACATTTTGAACTGAAAATCTCCCTCTGTAAAATCAGAGTTTCAAATAATTTTGTTTTCAATGGTTAGCATTTTCATCAACCCAAAGACATTCTAAGCAATATTTGAAGATTTATATTTCAATTCATACAAAAAATGATTGCTATGTTAGGCTAAGGTGGGAAGAAATGATCATGCTTAAACAAAGTTTTTGAAATTGAATTGAAAAGATTATTTTTCAGAAAAGTAAGTTGAAAGAAAGTTAAAGATATATTATAATGGGAACTACTAAGAAACATAAGGACAAGGATAGAGAGCATAAAAGAAAACACAAACGCGACAGATCTCGGTCTAGAGATAGAGATCGTTCTGATAGACACAGACGGCGTGAGAAAAGAAGCAGACGTGAAGGAGATGATGACAATGATATTGAATATATTGGAACAACTAATGCTGATGAACCAGAAGTTTTATTTGAGGAACCACCAAGAAATGTTGTACTAAGAGAACATCCCAGAGATGTACATAGGGACTCTGATAAAGATTCCAGTTACAGAGAACATAGAGATATGGGGTACAGAGACAGGCCTGAATCAGGTAGAGAAGTTTACAGAGAATACCCTAGAAATAATTCATACAGAGAAGATTCACACAGAGAATACTCCAGAGATCTTGATTACAGAGACCCTCCACGAGAAGCTCAAAGAGAGTCTAATTGTAAGTATATGTGAAGAATTAATTTAAAAATCTAAATATTGATTAAATTAAAAAAATATGTGGTATTACTTTTTCTTTCAAGGCAGTAATCATTACTAAAGACTTCAAAATAACAAGAATTATTAAATCATATTACCATTGTCGAATGTTTCAAATATTTACATGATTTGTTTTCATTTATATTGTGTCAGTATGATGTTTATATTTTGTTAAATAAATATAAATTATTTAAGATAATGATGGTGCTGGGCCTAGTGTTGGTACGAGGGAGGGAGGAGCTGTAGAATCTTTGAGTATAGATGAAACAAAGTAGGTGTTTATTAATGATGCTAAGAAGAATAAGAAATCATGAATGCTTTAAGCCACATTATTGCTATCTTACATCTTTTGACTAAAAAGATTCTTTGATATCTTTTAGCTTGTCAATCTTGTTAAATATATGATTGCCTATAATGATTGTAGAAAATTATAGGTGTAAGGCCTCTGATTAGCTCATCATTTGCCATAACAAGTCAGAGAATTGTAAGATTTCTCGAAAACAAGTCCATGGTAAATTGGCATGGCAGTTCAGTTGATTGAACATGAATATTTTATTTTTCAGTCGGTTAAGAGCCAAATTAGGTTTAAAGCCATTAGATGTTGGTGATAGCAAGTCAGGTGGAAAAGAAGGTACTTTGTTATTAGAATTTTAGGGATTTTATTATTTTATAAGAGAAAAAGGTATTGTAGCACAGTTAGTTAGAGTTAGTAGAATCTTGCCCATATTTGTTTGGTTTTGGGTTCTTCTTGAGTGTTGCTGTGGTGTATTTTTTTCTGACCGTGATCAATATCATCTGTGGGAGCGAGTGAATATGGATCAGGGTTTTTTACTTTGATAGTAACAAAACAGTAAGATGAATTATTAAAAATTTATGTGTTGTCTTTAGGTGGCAGTAAAGATAATGAAGATGTGCATGCCCCAGCTGTTAATTGGTCAGAACAGAAGAAAACAGAATCATTACGAGAAAAAATGGCAGTTATGAGAGAAAAAAGATTGATTAATCAGAAACTTGGGTATGTACAAAATAAAACAGCCTCAATAAGTCTTTTTATAGTTTTTATAGTGATTGATAAGTGTTCAAATGTGATAGCAAACTATGCGCAATAAGAATAACTCTACAGTTTTCAGCTATGTAATCATATGCTGAATAATAAAATTTTGACATCCATTTAATTGGATTTTAACACTACAAGTAGGATAGTTTGTATTATTCTGTCAGAATTGTTGATTTTGTTTACAGGAAGGTGAAGACTCTTGGTGAAAGTGATTCAGATGATGATGGTGTACTTGGGTGGGTTAAAAAAAGTCGTCAAGTACAAAAAGAAAAAGATTTGGCTGCTAAGAGAGTAAGTATGAATAATATCAAATTTTATATACCATATCACACTCATTTCTCTAAGCCTTCTCCTGAGCATCACGTGGGCTTAAAAAAACACTTGCTCTGAAAACTCTGTCCTGTAGTGACTTTTCTAGTTGTATTAATGATATTGATAACAATTAAGGCAAACCATGCTTGTCAAATTTACTCTGTAATATTGTTTCCTCTATTCAGGCTAAATTATTAGAGGAAATGGATGAAGAATTTGGTATAGGAAATCTTGTGGAAGAAGAATTTAAACCAAAACAGGTATATTGATACTCCTTTGTTAAGATCATCATCAATTCTACAAATAATGTAAGAGTATAAGATACTTGAATATGCTCATCTCAGCATACATATTCATATACATGGATTCTGTGATTGTCTTAATCCTCACACATTACACTGAGTTACTGTTAATCAGAAACCTTTTAATAACTTTTCATAAACTGAATTACTTGGATGGATTGAAATATAGGATTGGATTGAAAGATATATCTCACTTCAACAGGTTCAAAAAGGTCTTTATTACATTTGAAAATGAACATGTTTCAGCGATATTCAGCTAAAGATTTAAAAGGACTCAAAGTACAACATGATGCCAGTAGATTTAAAGAAGGAAAATCTGTCATATTAACACTCAAAGATAAAGGTTAGTCATATTTTAATAAAATTCAATGTATTTGTTTTGACATCTCTTAGTAAACTCTCATTGGCTATTAAAATGATGAATTTATCAATGTTAATATATTAGATGATGTGTTAGTATATTAAAATGATTGATGTTTGTATCTATAGGTATACTAGATAAAAAAGATGAAGGTGATGAATTTATCAATGTTAATATGTTAGATGATGTGTTAGTATATTAAAATGATTGATGTTTGTATCTATATGTATACTAGATAAAGAAGATGAAGATGATGAATTTATCAATGTTAATATGTTAGATGATGTGTTAGTATATTAAAATGTTTGATGTTTTTATCTATAGGTATACTAGATAAAGAAGATGAAGATGATGAATTTATCAATGTTAATATGTTAGATGATGTGTTAGTATATTAAAATGTTTGATGTTTTTATCTATAGGTATACTAGATAAAGAAGATGAAGATGATGAATTGATCAATGTTAATATGTTAGATGATGTGTTAGTATATTAAAATGTTTGATGTTTGTATCTATAGGTATACTAGATAAAGAAGATGAGGGTGATGAATTTATCAATGTTAATATGTTAGATGATGTGTTAGTATATTAAAATGTTTGATGTTTTTATCTATAGGTATACTAGATAAAGAAGATGAGGGTGATGAATTTATCAATGTTAATATGTTAGATGATGTGTTAGTATATTAAAATGTTTGATGTTTTTATCTATAGGTATACTAGATAAAGAAGATGAAGATGATGAATTTATCAATGTTAATATGTTGGATGATGTGTTAGTATATTAAAATGTTTGATGTTTGTATCTATAGGTATACTAGATAAAGAAGATGAAGATGATGAATTTATCAATGTTAATATGTTAGATGATGTGTTAGTATATTAAAATGTTTGATGTTTGTATCTATAGGTATACTAGATAAAGAAGATGAAGATGATGAATTTATCAATGTTAATATGTTAGATGATGTGTTAGTATATTAAAATGTTTGATGTTTGTATCTATAGGTATACTAGATAAAGAAGATGAGGGTGATGAATTTATCAATGTTAATATGTTAGATGATGTGTTAGTATATTAAAATGATTGATGTTTTTATCTATAGGTATACTAGATAAAGAAGATGAGGGTGATGAATTTATCAATGTTAATATGTTAGATGATGTGTTAGTATATTAAAATGATTGATGTTTTTATCTATATGTATACTAGATAAAGAAGATGAAGGTGATGAATTTATCAATGTTAATATGTTAGATGATGTGTTAGTATATTAAAATGATTGATGTTTTTATCTATAGGTATACTAGATAAAGAAGATGAGGGTGATGAATTTATCAATGTTAATATGTTAGATGATGTGTTAGTATATTAAAATGTTTGATGTTCTTATCTATATGTATACTAGATAAAGAAGATGAGGGTGATGAATTTATCAATGTTAATATGTTAGATGATGTGTTAGTATATTAAAATGATTGATGTTTTTATCTATAGGTATACTAGATAAAGAAGATGAAGATGATGAATTTATCAATGTTAATATGTTAGATGATGTGTTAGTATATTAAAATGATTGATGTTTGTATCTATATGTATACTAGATAAAGAAGATGAGGGTGATGAATTTATCAATGTTAATATGTTAGATGATGTGTTAGTATATTAAAATGTTTGATGTTTTTATCTATAGGTATACTAGATAAAGAAGATGAAGGTGATGAATTTATCAATGTTAATATGTTAGATGATGTGTTAGTATATTAAAATGTTTGATGTTTTTATCTATAGGTATACTAGATAAAGAAGATGAGGGTGATGAATTTATCAATGTTAATATGTTAGATGATGTGTTAGTATATTAAAATGTGTGATGTTTGTATCTATAGGTATACTAGATAAAGAAGATGAGGGTGATGAATTTATCAATGTTAATATGTTAGATGATGTGTTAGTATATTAAAATGATTGATGTTTTTATCTATAGGTATACTAGATAAAGAAGATGAAGGTGATGAATTTATCAATGTTAATATGTTAGATGATGTGTTAGTATATTAAAATGTTTGATGTTTTTATCTATAGGTATACTAGATAAAGAAGATGAGGGTGATGAATTGATCAATGTTAATATGTTAGATGATGTGTTAGTATATTAAAATGATTGATGTTTTTATCTATAGGTATACTAGATAAAGAAGATGAGGGTGATGAATTGATCAATGTTAATATGTTAGATGATGTGTTAGTATATTAAAATGATTGATGTTTTTATCTATAGGTATACTAGATAAAGAAGATGAGGGTGATGAATTGATCAATGTTAATATGTTAGATGATGTGTTAGTATATTAAAATGATTGATGTTTTTATCTATAGGTATACTAGATAAAGAAGATGAAGATGATGAATTGATCAATGTTAATATGTTAGATGATGAAGCTACAGATAGAAATCTAGAAAATAAAAAGAAGAAACCAGATTATAAACCTTATGATGAACCAGAATATGATGAATATGGAATGGTATGATATATGATTTAAGAAATTCTTAACCATGAACTTTTCTTTGTAGGGTCACTTTCTTGTGTACCGTATGATTTTTTTAACTTCTCAGCTGAAGGTCAACAGTATATTACTTTAATTTCCTTCTTACAAAGCATTATGTTGACTACCTATCATTTCAAAATACACGTAATCTGTAAAAACTATTAAGTTCAATCTATTTTTTTTTTAGTTCAAACCAAAGGCAATATTAGAGAAATATGATGAAGAAATTGATGGAAGAAAGAAAGAATCATTTGAAATAGGTTTGTAATTCTGTGTTCTGAAACACTATACAATTATTAATGGTTATAGCAGTATGAATGAAGTTCTATGAATTTGAATTAATTTTAGGAAAATGATAGTTGTCTTTGTTCAGTCAACTTCCTTTAGTTTTTAACTGTAATTGGGTATAGATGATTCAAAATGATTATTACCTAGAGATTTAGCCAATTAGTTAACCATGTTGAATATTCTTTAAAACAGCTTATGAAGAAGACATTGATTTCTAATTTCTAAATGTAGAAAAAAGGTTCTGAGTCACA